AGAAGGGTTACACGCAAACCTGTGTGCAACCCTTTTCGATTAGTTTAGAAAAAAATTATTTTTATGATCTTAAAGGTAAACTACTAAAAGAACTTACTATAAAATACAATGGTCATAATGTATATATTGCATATTAAATATATTTTATTGGTTATTATCACAAGGTTGTTAATTTCACGTGTGATGCACAACGACGTGCTCCATGTCACTCAGTTGGTGTTGTTCATGTTTTTTTTTTTTTTTATGAACAAATAGTATTATCTACACTAAGGGGGAGGAGTGTGCAGCCTCACAATGGGCTAGCAATAGTGTGGTTCAAATTCGCCTTTTGCAAGACTCGAACGTGAAACCTTTCACTTACAAGTGAAGAGGAATACCATTAGACCATAGTATTAAGTGGCGTGTTATACATATATTAGACTTGAAAATTCGCCACATGTGAGGAGTCGTGTTGAGAATGAATTATACATTGATGGGAAGATGGACCTTATATGAGCTTAATTACAAGTAAGTTATCATACTCTCCATATTGCCTTCAGTTTCAAAAAATTTGTTGATCACGGATTAATTTTGTGATGAAACCTTAATATATATATATTAATGGTAAAATGACGACCATGAGCAATCGATAAAAAAAAATTATGGCAATTAAAATCATAACTATGACCCACTTGGATAACTTACCAACATGATTAGTGTGCAACGCGTAAGTGGTGACTATGATGCCATGTCACGATTTCATATCAAGTAGTCACCACGTCATCCACAGGAAGTAGGGATGCCAGTTGGCTTTTGTTGACCCAATTGAACACAGCGCGTCCATTCAACAAAACCCAAAGACAAGCATATGTCCTATTCAGCTAGCATTGCTGATAATAACCTTAGCATTCTTTAAGAAATAAATCAAATAAATAAACCCTTATGTTTTTACAAATTAGGATCAAATAAACATAAAATTATACTAGGTTATATAGTTTGTGAGGATATGTTTTATGTGGTCCGATATCAAAAAGATAAGAGATCTTGCATGATGCTATTATAAAGAGTCGGATTACTTTTCATTTTGTCAATTGGTTTTATGATGATACTTCAATTAACTTAGTTCACATTTTTTTCTTTTCATCAACCGTTGTCATCCAACAAATTTAAACTTCGAACTTACTCCAACAAAGTAAAGATTGAATGTTAGAAGACAATAAAATCACATGCATATGTTTATAATATTGATTGAACTACTTCAGAAAATTTGAACCAAACAACCACTTTAATCGGCCACTATTTCCATTCCAAATCTCTTATAACTTATAGCTAGCTAGATATCATCCCTACTTTACATAAACCCATAGCTAGGTTGCATGTGAAACACGCATGCATATAAGTAAACGGTAATGCTAGAGATATCAAAATTTTAAACTAAATAATGTCATTGCAGATGATTGGATTATTAATTTAAGTGTCGATTAATGTGTTTGTTTTTTATTGTTGACACATCATTTGGTTTGCAAATTTGGTTTACAAATTTGGTCTCTCTATTATTACCAATAAGCACTGTTCTAAAAATCCCTGCCTAGTGCGGCCTAGGCACCCGCCTTGCTCCCCTAAACCCGCTTAGGTTACAACTCACTTAGACAAAAAATAGATGACTTTCATTTTGTATTTTATTTTTTTAATAAATTGTAAGAGACTTGTTGAATACTTAAATGAACACACATTATGTGCTTGTTCCCCATGTTTTCATTATGTTCCAATACTTCATAATATCTATGTCATTCTATTTTGTAATTTATGATGAAATTACATATATTTTAAATATAAACAGACACTTATTTACACGAAATATAATAGAAATTTACTTAAATCCATCTAACCGCTAGGCTCCAGCCCATTACCCAACTAACACCTAACGTCTTTTAGAACCTTGTCAATAAGAAAGTTAAGCATATACAAGCGTGATCATGATCATTTGGAAGTATCTCTGCCCATGTGAACTTGTGGGCATGCATGGTTCCAATTCAGTACTTCAAATGAGGCATTCAAAAGGCGCAACAAATTTGGTCCTTGTTTTTGTGATAGGAACAATTGCTTAGGTGGGTTGCCTATCTATTCTCACAAGCTGCGTGTCCTAGTGCTAGTCTCTTTCGTAATAATCATATGAAAAAAAGAATAAGAAAAAAAATGTCATTTTCTTGATCGATATCTGCAATAATTTCAGCCTTGTTTAGTTTATTTTAGGGTTTGGCGAAGCTTGTTCCATTCATTTTTAGTGAAAGCAAAATTATATATTTATGAAATTTTGATTGCGATTGGTTGGGTATTGATTACCCAAACAACCAAATTGTGGAATTGATCATGAGGATTAATGGCCAACTAGGTAATTGGCATCTCCTCGTGCCTCAAAAATTAATGGAGTGGGGACTAAAGAGGGTTGCGTAAGATGCACTTGTGGTCGTATGTGAAACTTCAATTATTAAAGGCGTTATCAAATCACTGTATGCACATATCATATTCAGAAGTCCCACCCTTCTAATTCTTTATTCATTCACCGTTTACACATGTGAATGCTTGTGCGTGGGTGGACGGATTAATAAATCGATGTGCGCTTGAACGATTGTCAATTAAAAATGTGTCTAAATCACACGGTAATTCTTATGGTTGAAAAATGAACAATCATTGCAGTCCACCCTAAACAAATCTCTACGATTCAATACATTTCCTTTTTGCATTTCTTTGAAGTTGATCAATGATACAAAGAGGAATCACCATGATCTTAGTATTTCCTTATTATTTTATGCTCGTTAGTGTGGAGCCGAAAATAATCACAAGATGACACGTGGATTTTTTGGATAGAAGAGGACAAAAATACCCTTAAGGTATACCGGGATTCCTACGCGCGAGCAGCGGACAATCATCCCTTAACCAAGTCAAAAGTGCCCAAAATAGGTAACAAATTCAAAACTATTTCATCCACCCTCATCCTATATTCTCCACAAGGTAATTATTCTATAACCCCCAAAACATTTCTTTTAAATTATGTTAATTAGTCAATTAATGAATTTATTACCTAATTAATCTATTAATGGCTAATTAACTACAAATTACACTCAAAAAAATTGACCACAAATGGCTGGTCCCTATTCTCCTAATATGGCCGGCCATATCCTTATAAATAGCTTTCCATGGGTGCGTGATGCTTTTTGACCTTGACCAAAGGTATGATTTATTTTATAGGTGCAATTTTGTCTAAGAAGGAGAAGGCAGAAATTTGCATCTATAATTAGATCAATCAAAAGGCCATCAACGTAGAATAAAATATAAGAGCTAGTTAGCTAGTTTGTTTGATAAATTTCATTTTTATTCAAGTTATTTTTGTGCTAGCTAGAGGTAGAGGAGAACGTGCATGTCAGAAACGAGTAATGTATATGAAGAGAGGTAGTGAAAATAAATTAAAACTATTTAGGTTTTGATTTTTAATTTTCATTTGTGTGCTTCTCCATTCTTTTATGTAATTTTTTTTTTCCACCATCTTTCCTCCATCATTAACTCTTCATTACTCATTTATCTTAAATCATTACTCTCTAGCCAGCTCAAAAAAAAAAAAAAAAAAAAAAAGAAAGCTAAATACTAAAACAGAAATAGAATGAACCCTAAATTTTTTCATTTCAACACACACAATTATAAATTATAGTTCACAAAGTAAATATCATACTCTAGTTGAAGGTTTTTCCTTTTAACAAAACTAAACAATCGATTTTACATTTACTCTCTAATTTTATATAGGATTTTTAGTAGACATTCTAATATTATAATACTACTTGTTACTATATATATAATTAATTTGAAACAAAATTTGAAGGATTTTATACTTCAAGCAAAGCAATTTTATTGATCACCTGTAAATATTAAGAGTTAGATTACCATCCTTTTTTTTTTTAAATAACGAGAAGAATATTTTAAGTTGTATACAACTATTATCAGCTCATGACTTCACCAATCTGTAAGGTAATTAATATCAGAGAAGCTAAACGCTTGACACCAATCTGCTCGCAGGAAAGAGAAAGAGAATGGACTAGGGAACGTACGTATACAAATGTTGCATGTGATATAAACTCCAACTATAGGAAATGATACTTCAGTTCAGACCATACATTGACATAAACTCCAACTAAATTGTATTAATTATCATTCTATTTCCATAAGATATATAAATGTGAAGAAGACTCTGAAAAATAAGACTCTTTATTGATTCTCCGTCATTTCATGTTCGGCACAACTCCAGTGCCAATATTATAAAGGGATGTGATATTCACACACCCTTTTTTACTTTTCATAAATCTATTTTGGTTTCTATCATTTGATCTTTTTCGATTCATCTGATATGACGATTGAAAATTAAAAAAATGTGTGATAAGTAAAAAATGATGTGTGAATATAACACACCTATTATAAATCATTTTGTAAAAAATGATACGACAAAAAGTCCATGAAAAATTCCAGTCTAAGAAAGCCTCTACAGTGCACGCTGCCACGTAATGCAAACAGAAAAACTGATTTTGTGGCTCTGAAATTGTTGGATAGCTCCGATTTGAAATGACAAAAAGTAATGGAGATAGATTACCATATATAACGAGTTTGGGGAAGACCTAATTAGGCTTGTCTAGGAGTAATTTTATTGGGACAAATAAAGACTTGGTTTTTTGTTTTCTCTGGAAGTCTAGTAAAAGAAAAGACCTGTGGACGGAAAGCAAACAATCAAACCTGTAGCTTACACGTTTTTGATCTGCACGTGGACGCCACTCATTGGTGTAAAATAACAAAAAAATTGGAAAAACATCCCCAAACAGCACGTGTTGGGTAAGTAAAGTCTGAAAACATGATAATGATGAGCTGGCAATGAAATCAATCAACGGCCAGAATTTCCTAACAGCAAATGTTGCTGATGTGGAATAAACTTGTAGAAGTAGTCCAGCCCCTTAAGCCTTCAATCATTGGGTCATCTTTCTCTCTCTAGAAAGTGTGTTGTATTTTCCTCTTTATATGTCGACTTCTCTACTATTCATGTATTGTTGAGTTGAAGATTTTGTGGAGGAGAAACAAAAAGCAATCTCCTTGTTTGCTCATAATATTAAGAGTTGGGTTTTTTTTTTTTCTTCCAAAAACACAGAAAAGAGATCAAAGTTTGAGTCTTGAACATCAGGAAGAGGACGAGATAATTCAGCTAGCAAAGTTTGAGAAAACTGAAAATTAAGGCCCTGTTTGGATTGGATAGTTGAGGTTTGAAGGAAATGGTTTTCATGTTTGACATTTTCTTTGCTGCGGAAGAGAAGGTTGAAGAAGGAGCTTGGGAGAAAGAGCGATAGAGGATAAACACAACAAACAAACCCAAATTAGCAGAAGTTCAGAAGAAGAAAATAACCAAAAAAGGAAATATTTGGTTTGGTTTTTGATCTGCTTCTGCAGTATCTGCCGGTAATTATTTACTTTTAACTTCATGTGTTTTTTTTCATTTGAGTTGCAACTATATATCTTTCGCTGTTTTCACTTTTCTCTCGGAAACTCATTTCCAAAAACATGTTTTTCAATTTTTTTTTTTATATATAATATACAAACGATATTGGAAGGGAAACTGAACTCGTGCTACGTTGAGTTCAAAGGAAAACGATATTAACCAATTTACAAGCCATTTCAAAATATGATTTTTATTTTTGGAACAAAAATGGAGCAAGATTTCTTCTTTTCTTTTGATTCTTAGACCAACTCCAATGATGGGTTAAAAGCCAAATTACCCCCAAAATTTCCTCCCAAACCCACTCCAACCCAAAGGGAAATTTGGGGCTAAATGCTAAATGCTAAATGCTAAACCAATGCCAAATTCCCCTTAAAATTTAGCCCAGAAATCGGAGTGGACTCTACCCAATATTTATCAGAATTTAAATTTTTTTAGATTAAAATGTTTATAAAATTAATTTATGATGGTCTACATATTTATTTTTTTTGAAAAAAAATTAATTTAACAAAAAAAAATAGCCTAAGTTCATTCTTTAATAATCCCGCTAAAATTTTAGGTTAGAACGGTTGAAGCAGAAAAGCTGTTTCTGAGCTAAAAGTTAAATTTTCCGGGCTAAAAAATTTAGTTTTTAGCCCAACCAATGAAGATGGTCTTATAGGATTGGAATTAATCTGCAAAACCCATGACTTTATTTTTCAATCTTTTGAGGAATAAAGAAACTAACAAAGCTATTTCAAGAGCATAGTTGGGATTTCCAGCTCACACTTTGTTTCTGTTTTGCTAAGAAGCTCAACCTTTTGTTATCCAAAGCCAAATTCTGTTTTTCTTTTCGGAAAATGAAAAAATAAAAAACCCTTTCATCCTTCTTTTGTCGTTGCCAACATTAAGAAACATAAATAATTTTGGAAATTCAGTTTTGTGACAGCCAAGTATATTAGCTTCTGTTTTTCCTCACCCAACAAAACATGCATAAAAAAGCACATAATTTCCCTTAACTCCCATCACACGTTTCATGTTGCTCATGAATTTAGAAATCATATTAGCATTGCTTGCATTGTTTGCAGGGTTACTAATAATGGCAATGTCCGCAACTATCATCAGCAGCGACCCGGTTGTTCTACCGGCGGCCGCCGCCGCCGAAACTCAGCCAACACAAGCCACAACAAAACTCGTTTCCCAAATCGAAATCGAGTTCGTAAAATGCGACTGCTGTGGATTAACAGAAGAGTGCACGCCGGCGTATATTGAGCACGTGAGGGAGAGATATCAGGGCCATTGGATTTGCGGGTTGTGTGCAGAAGCTGTAAAAGATGAGATTGTTAGGTCACAGAAGAGACTGATGAGCACGGAAGAAGCCATGGCCACACACATGAACTTCTGCAAAAAGTTTAAGGCCTCAGGGCCTCCTCTAAACCCTACCATTCACTTGATATCCGCCATGAGGCAGATTCTCCGGCGCAGTTTGGATTCTACGAGGGGGGGTTTGAGATCAACTCCAAGTAGTCCTACAAAAATTAATGCAGGAAAAGGGCTCAAGAGGTCTGAGAGTTGCTTTCCGACTCTGACTGGTTGAGGATATTTGATTAATGGAGAATATATATTGGGAATAATGATCAATGGGAAAAAGTTTGGCAAATTTGCAATGTTATTTGCTGAAAAGAAAAACACAGAAAGGAAAAGCAAGGAGTCTAATTGTTAAGGGTTTAGATGTTTAATTTAGTTGTAATTTAATTAGTATCGAACTAATACAGAACCTATTTTTCTTTCACTTTCTTACTTTTTTTGTTATGTTGCTACAATTTTAGTTTCTCTTTCGTTCATTAAGTTTTTATATCTGTCACGAATCATATAATGTAATGCATTCTAATTGAAAAATTAAAGTTGTACAGTTCATAGCTGCCAAGGCCCATATTTTGGAGAAATTTTAAGTTGTGACGGGAACATAAGTGGTATACCACATGCTTTAATAGGAATTGAAGAAAATTTTATTTTTTAAGTCAATAATTTTTAGCACACATATCCCACCATTTGTTTAATGACACATGATGTATTACCCCGTGTACCGATCACACTGAAATATCACTCCACATTGTAACCAGTCCCAGTTTAGGAATCCCACCGAACATGGTAAATATTCATAAAACTTGAAGGTGAACTTGTTTGGCATGAACTTCTCTACATGATATAAAAACAAGAGTTTATGAGAATGGAAGGATCATTCTGCAAAGGAATCAAGAGAAATGTGAAACCCATACATGGCCAGCAAGTAAGATCAGGAATCGAATTTCTAATAAAGATTTGTGATGAGAATCATTCCCACTAATCTACAACTTTTTTTCTATAGCATGGAAAGTAACATTCGATTGGATTTAAAAGAAAAAAGTTTCTTGTTTTTTTTTTCTTTTCACGATTGAAACCTCATTCTTCTTTCAGCTTTTAATTTAAGGAAAACTAATAAAAAGATTTTGAAAACTTTGAGTTTTAACGATAAGGACAAAATAAAGGGTAAAATGAATAGTACCAAGATTGATTTTTTAATGTAAAAATGTGGCTTTTCGTTAAAGTAAATAGTACCAGGAACTTTTCGTTAAAATTCCCTTTAATTTATTTAAAAGTTGTTTATGAAATTTGAACTTAAATTGTCCGTCTTATTTTTATGGGTTAAGTACGCATAACTACCAAATCTTAAGGAGTAATTCAATTGGTCTAAACCTTTTAAAACATTCCACATAACCACCTAACCTTTTGCAAATTGAACATCCTTTAGGTCTCCAACGTTAAGTGATGACCTGGACAAGTATTGAAGTGAATTTCATTCTAATGTCATCTATAGAACTCTAGATCCCTAAACTGACCCCTTTGAACTAGACAAGTTAGTATTTGTCTTGGCTAATAGGGATCCGTTGGGGTTTCAAAACACCAAAAATAATGTGCTACTGAAATTAAGTTTCAATATTTATCCACGTCAACATTAAGGACATTATCAATTAACGGTACTTACATCATCACTTAGGGTTGGTGACCTATGTTTATATTTGACATTTAATAAGCAATTTAGATTCAGCTTTTTAGCCAAAATAGTCTATGAGATTGTCATAACTTCTCATTTTGATCATTGAGATTTAAAATCGATTGAAGTGGTTTTTGAGATTGTTCACCGTAAATCATTTTAGTCATTCTGTGAAAAATCACTGTTAAATTGAGGGTATCTTTGTCAAATCAACCCCTTCACTTAAATTGGTGGTAACTTCAATTTAAGGAGATTTTTCACAGAAGGACTAAAATGAATGACGATGGACAATTTCAGGAACCACTTCTATCTATTTTAAATCATAAGGATCAAAATGAAAAGTTATGACAATCTTAGAGACCATTTTAGCTAAAAAGAACCTTTAGATTCCTTCCCTTTAATGAATTAGGTTCAAGAATTGCATCCAAAACCACAAACTTAAACACATCATTCTAACATTTGGATATTGTGTCATCCAGTGGTAAAAACACACATAACAAGCATGTCAATAATTATAATGAGTTAGGTTCAAGTACAATTTGCATGTTCTATTTGGTTGTAAAGATGTTACTAAAATTGTTTAAAACAAACAAGTATAATGTTGATTTTTATGTGACTAAGTGACAATGAAAGTTCTATCAATTCTCCCTAAAATGGGAAGAATTGAAACACAAGATAACTAGGAACGTTAAAAGGAATTTTAGTGGTACTTCAAAATTCTCATTTTGCATTACAAATATTATATATTTATACACTTCCGATGAGTGTGATGTAATTTTTAAAATGCTAATAACAATTTTTTAATTAATAAAGTTATGAATATCACCGTTACTTAAGAATGCTTAGCAAAAATATTCCCATAAATCATAGTGCCTTTCACTACACAAACACAATACAGAAATGTAGTGACAACTAAGAAAATAACATCAGAATCAGAGCCAGACAGGCATTATTTAAGTGACTCTCTACCGGATACAAGAAGGGAATTATGATATGGAAATCGGATCTGGTGCACTGCATAAATTGCCATAATACTAAAACCCATACTCAGGTGCACTGTTCATCTTTTAATTAATTTTTTAAATTCATGGGAAATCCAGATCTTTGATGAGAGGGGTTCTCCCTTTTCCTTTCGTTTCATCTATTTCTTTCTTCACTTCTTCCTTTGCTTTTTCTGCTTCTTTCTTTCCCGCTTCTCTCCTTCGTTTTCAGTTTTCTGTCTTCATCTTCTCCTTCGGCCGCTGGCTTCTTCGCGTCTTAAGTCTTCTCGTTTTGTGGTTAGTTGTGTATTTTCTTGGGTGCCAATTTTTGGCACTTTTGTGATAAATTTTGTACTTGGAATTAGATCTTATGTTTTAAATTTGGGTTTAGGTGATTTTTAGGGTGATTTTGAGATTTTAGAGTATAATGTTTCCTCTGGATGTTTTATGATGTTCATTTTTCTCAGGTGTTGTGCTGCCGTTTTCGCGCTGGTTCTACTTCAGGTATCTCGTTAATTTATTATTTTTTCACTTATTTTTTATTTATTTTCTGTTCTTGGATGAATTTGGTGTTTCACTTTGAGTGTAGAAAATCGGGAATAATGATTAAAAAAATTTTGTTCTTGGATGAATCTGGTGTTTAAATTAGAGTAGATAAATTAGGGAATAATAAATAAAGAACGAAAGGGAAGGTTTTCTTACAGTTCATGTGTTAGTACAGAATTGATTAGCGGATTGTTTGACAACAGTATGTTAAATGTTTGTTCAAATTAATCTCATGTAAATACAAAGTTTAGACGATGTAACAAATAGACAGGTCTTCATAGTTAATGGCAATCCATATGGCTGCAATTCAAATGGAATTCAAATGAAAAATACACTGATTAAATTATGGATTTTGGAAAGAAGAATAAAAAGATTTCAAACAATGGTTTGAATCTGATCTTCTTGGTGATAATAGTTGCCAAATAAAATTTTATACAATGTCAAATACATTAAAAAATTGGATTTGGTTCATCATGTATCAAATGTCCATGGAAATTGTGGTCAACAGATGAATCAATTTGAAATTATGTATTATCATGCTGTGTTTTTTAATGTATCTGTGTTACTGTCGGTCGATATAATTAAATGGTGTTTATGGGTATATGATATGGTGCCTATCTATTTTCAGGAAACGACCCTGTTGGTTTTTCCAGGCTACCGTGTTGTTGTTTTCAATCTGCTTCTGTTTCAGGTATATAGTTTGGGGTTCTCCTTTTCTGGCTTAACTGGACATAGTTTATGATGATATTTTAACGGACATATGTATGTATATTAGTTTGCTGCTTTTTTTTTCGTGTGAAAGTTAAATGTGCTCGGATTTATTTACTTTTTTTCCGTCTGTTTTTTTTGTTTTTTTTTTTTTGGAATTTTATAATCGTATAACGTTTTGTTTCTTATGGTTAATCTTTGAGTGGTGACAGTTTCTGAAATTTTTTTTATGCTTTGTTTGGCCAGAGTAAATGGAAAATATAGCTCTGATTCTGTGTTACTTGATGAAATGGTGAGCAATTGTTATTCATCTGTATTAATTAAGACTGGTAACAAGGATAATTAACGCTAGAAATAACACTTTGTTCTATCATGTTTTTTTTCCATGCTGAACCCTTAGGTTTTGTTAGATGAATAGAGTGTGTGATCAATCTTTTAATCTTAATTTTTAATTGGACTGTTTCTATTTTGGTTAGTCTATATATACATAATTGATATTCAATTTATACATATTCCTTTTTCTCATATAAAATCAAATTGGTATCATGATTTTCTTATTGCTTGGATTTGTAATCTTTTCTTTTTTTCCTTCTTTTTTGCTGTTGTTAATTGTAAAGCAACGTGCGGTTGAAGCTTGCACAACAGACCTTGACTGTGAAATTGTTGCTTCCAAAATAGAAGCTGGCAATTGCTATGAAATTATGGCTTTTCGTACCAGTAAAGTAAGGGGTCAATACAGGGTTGTCCTGCATGATACTGATAGGAGCATATTTATGCGCCTTAGTTAGCTAGTTCTTATGCATTTTTGTTATGTTTTCTTCGTTAAAGTAGTCTTTTAAGCTACTTTCATGTGTTTTCAGGTTTAAAGGACATATTACATGAAATGATGCAATTTGGAGCTTTTAGAGCAAAACTGAGCTGGAATGTGGTGTATGCAAATGGAGCACGAGGAATGGACGTCCAAAACTAAACCCTATTGCCGCAGCCATTAATCCCCCATCAATCCATGCATTCCCACCTACATCCGCAAATCCCATTCATTCTCCATTTTCTTATTCTCCATTATCTCCTAACTCCTCCATAATTCTAATCAAGCCGTGCATTACCTTTCATCCCATTTAAACTACATTCACTTTAAACCTTCCACCCACCATTCAGATTATTCACCATAAATTATTCACCATTCCACCTAATTGTCCACTTCCAATTATAAAATCCTTCAAAAACCGTGCAGCACTTGAAGAATGATATATATGCAGCCAATTCCTCAATCAGGGGGGCTTTTTTTTTTCACACCTTATTCACTCAAAAAGCCGTGCCATATCCCAGAATTTCCCTGCCATTCTAACCATTTTCCACTTAAAAAAAAATCCAACCTTCCACACCATTACAAACCACCCAACCTCCATAAATCCATCCCTAAACCCGCAAATCATCCACCAACACCATTTAATCAATCTGCCGCAGAAGGAGAAGAGGAAAGAGGAGCTTCGACGCGCACCAATTCACGTGGATTCGTTGGGCGTTCTAGGTGTAATCAATCCTTTGTGCTTTATGTTTAAATTCATTTGTAATTCTCTTTTTGTGAACATGAGAGGCTAAATCCCCCTAGTTAGCTAGGGGGTGATTCGAAACCATGATTATACTTGCAATATGAATTGATTACTTTTGGTTGGGATTTCATGAATGTTGGATTCAATTTGTTTAACCGTTTGATTGATAACTTATTTATGAATGTTTATTAAGAATGCGCGCTTAATTTTCATGCATAAATATGACGCTAGAATATAAGTGAATTTCACCTAATCGTTATGAACTTATATTCACAAGTAGTGGAGGTTGCTTATAAACAATCGCGTTAAATGAATTCTTGGCACGAGTATCATGCTTTTCATAGTTACAAATGCCTTGTCGATGCTTATAATTTCCAAAGAACGTAATGATTCTAACTTGTATCTTTATCATGCTGTTCATATAGAGAACTTGTTAGGAATAATTTGTTTGCGATGCATATTCATCCAATTCAATGATTCTAGGGAAATTTGAAGGTTAATTTAAGCGGACCTAATTAACTTGGAGTGTCGAGTTTCATAATTTATCGAAAGACCAACTGAGAATCAATTTTGTATGCAAGTATAACATGTGTGGAGATGAACCCCTTGGCTATTCCATCATCCATATATTCCATCATTCATATTTACGTTTTGCCTTTAATTACAATTTGTCCATTTAATTTAATATCGTCCAAACACAATCCCCCCTTTACTTTATTGTCAAATTAGTTAGAAATCAATTTAGTTTGTGTTTTTATAGAATTTTGAGTCTTTTGGTTTGTCTTAATGATTTAACGTTTAGTTTCACATTCTTTGAGTCTAGTTTAGTGTTTTATATTGTTTTTACGTTTTTGAGTCAAAAATCCAAGTGATTAACAATCCCTCCTAATCCCCGGTCCAGAACGATCCCTACTTATACTTATACTACAATTGTCAAAAAGAGGGTTTAATTTGTGCGCATATCCCAAATTGGTATTCAATTTATACATATTCCTTTTTCTCATATAAAATCAAATTGGTATCATGATTTTCTTATTGCTTGGATTTGTAATCTTTTCTTTTTTTCCTTCTTTTTTGCTGTTGTTAATTGTAAAGCAACGTGCGGTTGAAGCTTGCACAACAGACCTTGACTGTGAAATTGTTGCTTCCAAAATAGAAGCTGGCAATTGCTATGAAATTATGGCTTTTCGTACCAGTAAAGTAAGGGGTCAATACAGGGTTGTCCTGCATGATACCCAGATGTATTCACCGGTAAAACAATTTTTTAAAAATTGGCAAGTGTATTAGTGTATTTCCAACTATCCCTCGACATCGCTTCTTTTTATAGGATTATAACACACTTTATCCTCGGCTTAACAGAGTTGACATCCTCACAGGTAATATATATATATATATATGCATATATAAATGTATACATCTGTTAAAAAATTATTTGTCGTTATTTTGTAAAATAGATTTTAACAACTCAATTCTATTTATTTGTTGAAATGCAAGATGTCATTGGTCATGTAACCGGTGTACAACATTTGGAGCCAAAACAAATTCATCAGAGAGTTGCTCAAAAGCGTGATGTGGTTATTCAAAATATTAGGTTGTTTTTTCGCTCTACTTATTGTAATTTTAAATTATTTTTTATACCTATTATATTTGTGTTACAACAGTTTAAAAATTTTATCTGCCAAATTGTATGTTGTTAGGCAATTATATAATACTTATGATATTGACTGTCTACTTTTTTGATATAATAATTAAATGCATTCTTTCTTGCTGTATGAAAATCAATTTTCAATTTTCTTCCGCAACAAAAAAGAAGAACAAAACGTTACGTTATAGGGAGATGTTGGAGAGAGTTTTTGTTCATTGTCAATGGGAGCATTGTTTGCACCAATTGTTGTTGTTTTCACGAGTTTGAAAATAAAGTTATACTGACGTATGTAATTCGATTAAGCCTATTACATATCTTTATTGTCCTATTTTTAAATATCATATGGTGTGAATTGTGTTGATCATCTCTTAGAACACAACTTCAAAACATTTATTGTCTCTCATTCTTTTTTTATCTAATTAATTATCAATAATGAAATAGGCTTTTGTCATTTTTATTTACGAATCTATGCTTGGAAACTTTTAAGTTGTATGACATTATCTAGACTCTTTGCTAATGTTCTATTCATGCTTTTTCCATTATTTTTCCAATTCACAGAAAAGATTGTGTTGAATACAACTGGTTCCTCACTTTTCTTCCTTGATCCAAACATCCCAGAGCTAAACTCATATAAATCAATGTGGGTACATTTATGCTTCCTCAGAGAGAATAAAAATATACCTATCATTTTTACAACAAAAGCTATGTTATTTTCACAAACTTACTCAAGTCACATTATCTTTTAAAACCTTCAGGTTTCCTGATTCCACAGAGGCTATGAAAACATTGCCACCCTCTTCACAGCAGCCAAATGAAGCTCAAATTTTACAAACTGCCAAGAGAGTGACGATCGATGAATTAGCTTTCCTCGATCCAGATTTATATAAGGTAATAAAATTTTAATAAAACTTTTTATTATTATTATTATTTTTTAAATTTGATAACTAAAATTTTTACGAATCTATTCAAAATTATATACATGCTGACTCCTCCTTATACAAATATTTGTAAAACCATTTTACAGCACGACCCATTTTTGTACAAAGCATCTGTCAAGCGTTTTGACACACGATTTGATTGGTGGTAGCTGGTTCCAACGCCTTGGTAATATGTAACATTCTGTGTTTCAATTTTCTGTCTTGCAAATTTAAATACAAACTATCATCGTTTTTCATGCGATTTATATATAATTAATCATTTATGCTCTTCCTAACCTAACATAAATACTATTTCACATTGAATGCATTGGTACCAAAAAAAAAAAAAAATTCTTATTTGAATGATTGATTGTGTCAAATGTATATCACCCCAGTTTTTTAACATAGGTACAAAGTAAATTTGATTCTTGAGGACCACACCAATGAAATCATCGCTTTGTAATTGGTAAATCTGGTGAAATGCTTTTTGGAGCGCCTTGCAAAGATTTGGTTCTAAATCAGAGATTGGTGGATCAACAACAATTACCCAATGAGTTTCTCAGATTGATAGGGCAAAAAAGAAATTTATCACCTGCGTTTTGGCAATAGAAGAAACAACTTTAATTCAAGTGATGTTCTCATTTACAATGCCTCTAATGATACAAGTATTGAGCCAACAACTCCACAGACATTGGTAAGGGGAATTAGCATGTCCTCAACTGTGGTTTCATCTTCTATGTCAACACTGAACACAATTGCAGAGTCACAAAAGCGTAAACGAGAGTAAGTGAGGAGGCCTCTGTTTATTGGCAATGAACACATGTTTGTTTCCTATCCTTCCTTTGTACAGGTTTTAAACTGTTGTCTACTCATTTTTTCTAGAGAGTTTTAACGGAAAGCCGACGATATTGTTTATTTTAACGAAAAATCACATTTTTACACTAAAAAGTCAATCATGGTACTATTCACTCTACCCTTTATTTTGTCTTTATCATTAAAACTTAAAATTTTCAAGCTTTTTTCATTAGTTTGCCTTTTTTTTCCCTAACATTTGTCATCTATTTAAAACAGTGATGTAAAAGAAATATAGGTGAAAAAGACTTTGATCAAGTTCCCATCAAGTTGTTAAAAAAAAAAATCACCCCCCACTCCTCCAAGGGCAGATTTGACACCTCCAAAAAAATTATAGGTGTCAATAGTTTACCATCACTTTTTCTTCTAATCTAATTTTGTTGAAGCATAAATTTAATGCCTATCTAAATGTTTCGGCTTCTTTTCCTTTTGTTTAGGTTGGCTTGCCCATCGCGAAGAATGCTCTGCCACAACTCTGACTATAGGTGAAAAATTTCTAACTTTTCCTAATTCACATCAGACAATGCTTCTAATATATTTTTGGGATGTAAATAGTACTTGGTGATGAAGGTTGTATGGTATTTTTTGCATGTGCATACACCAGCACTTTAAAGCTTTCTAAGCACTGCTGCTTACCAAGAATGACATAGAACTCCTAGAATAGAATGGATAATATTTTTTGTCTGCAGATGTACGGACATTTGATAACCTTTTATGTACATATGTTACTACTGATGAAAAATTATGTAT